GAAGAAGAAGAAGAAGAAGAAGAAGAAGAAGAAGAAGAAGAAGAAGAAGAAGAAGAAGAAGAAGAAGAAGAAGAAGAGAGGAGAGGAGAAACAGACATACAGACAAGGAGAGAAACTGAGAGTGAAGAGGAGAGAGAGACAGGGAGAGTAAGTGGAAAAGGTAGAGAAAAAGACAGAGACAGAAACAGAGGGAAGGAAACAGGAGAGAAAGAGAGAGAGAGAGAGAGAGAGAGAGAGAGAGAGAGAGAGAGAGAAACAGTAGTGCCTGGGAGTGGCCCCAGCAGCTGGATAGCTTGACCTTCAGTGACCTTCAGCCCTGTAGCCCCTGGGGGTTTTCCTTTTCACTCAGAGTTTCTTTCCACTAACAGAGGCCAGTCAGGAGGGGTTGATTTCATCTTCTCCAAGATGAATTTAATCGATTATTTTTCCTTTCTGTTTTGTTGCCATATGCAGGAGCTGGCATGGTTCCTGACTAAGTAACTTCTCTGATATTTTGAATTTTGATCACTGACTATTTGCATTTCAGAAAAGTCACTTGCTAGATAAAGTAAATTTCTCTTGCTCTGAGTTTTGCTAGAGAAGGTTAGGAGGGTTCCTCCAAATTCAACTGGCCAGAAGGCTCCTTTCTCAGCTCAGACATAGCTAGCAGGCTTTATGCAGCACATAAAGGCTTGTAGAGCAGTTTACTCCTTACAAATAGGACCTCATTTTATGCTTTTTTTTTTATGTGAGCTTTTATGCTCACAGTACCCTAGGAGGGAGGTATGCCCCCTTCCCTAGAGTTGTGTGGCCACTCTTCTTTCCCTCTTCTTCTTCCTTCCTCCCTCCTATCCATTTCCCTCTCCTTGGGCCAGGCTTTTAGTGGGGATTAGATTACCAACACAGAGTCATATAAAAAAAATGCTCTAAATCACCATTGATCAGAGAAATGCAAACCAAAACAACTCTGAGGTACCACATCACACCTATCAGATTGGCTAACATGACAAAGCAGGAAAATGATAAATGCTAGGGAAGATGTGGGAAAATTGGAATACTAATGCATTGTTGGTGGAGTTGTGAAATGATCCAAACATTCTGGAGAGAAATTTGGAACTATGCCCAAAGGACTATAAAACTGGCCATACTCTTTGACCCAGCAGTACCCTAGGTCTGTATCCCAAAGAGATCATAGAAATGGGAAGAGGACTCACATGTTCTAAAATATTCATAGCAGTTCTTTTTGTGGTGGCCAAGAATTGGAAGTTGAGGAAGTGCGCATCAGTTGGGAAACGGCTGAACAAGCTGTGGTATATGAATGTAATGGAATACTATTGTGCTATAAGAAGTGATGAGCAGGCAGACTTCAGAAAAACCTGGAAAGACTTATAGGGACTGATGCTGAGTGAAGTGAGCAGAACCAGAAGAACATTGTACACAGTAACAGCTACTCTATGCAGTGACTGACTGATAGACTTGGCTCTTCTCAGCAATGCAAGGATCTAACACAACTCCAAAAGACTTGCATTGGAAAATGCTATACACGTCCAGAGAAAGAACTATGGAGTCTGACTGCGAATGGAAGCATATTATTTGCTCTCTGTCTCTCTTTTTTGTTTCTTCTTTCTCATAGTTTCTCCCATTGGTTCTAATTCTTCTTTACAACATGACTAATGGGAAAATATATATGAATGTATAAGTAGAGTAAAATGAATGTATAAGTAGAGCCAATAGCAGATTGCATGCTGTCTTGAGGAGGGGGGAGGAGAGGGAGGGGAAGAAAATTGAGAAATCAAAAGCTTATGGAAGTGAATGTTGGAAACTAAAATAAATAAATAAATTAAAAATAAAAATTAAAAAGATTACCAAGACAGGGCTGGTAAAAGGAGGTTGCCTTCCATAATCAAGCCCCACTCCATCTTGCACCTGCTGACCCCCCTCCCACCCAGCACTTGCCTCCCAGTCCCCTTTTCAGCCTGGGGTTCAGGGGAAAAGGGGCTGGGTGGACCTTGTGGGGCTCTGCCTGGGCACAGCTCCTGTAGCCTCCCAGACCGTTCTCCTCTCCTCTCCCAAGGGGTTCACTGGGCCAGTGGCCAGGCACCCTTCATTGAAGTGTGCTCGAATCTCCCAGCCCATCTCGAAGGAGCTGCCTTCCCCTAGTAGCCCCTGATTCTCCCTTCCTGGCCAGCGGCTGGGCTGGGGAGGGGGTGAAAGGCACAGACTCTACTTCTTACCAGTTTGTGCAGAGTTGGAGATCCTCTTCCATGGTCCTTCTGAGACTCAGCACGGTTCAGTTTCCTTTAATATTCAAACTAGGAAATGAAACTGAAACTAGCCAAGGTAGCAGCTGCAGCGTTGTCCAACCTCATAGGGCAGGAGGAGGAAAGCTCGGTTCCGCCCCACTGGAATCTGAAGATTCCCCTATCCTGTGTCTGCTTGGAATAAGTCTTTGTAAGCCCGTGGGAAGAGGCTGAGAGAAGGCTCAAGGGGAGAGGATCTGACAGGCTCCACACTGGTCCTGGAGATGTCTGAGAAGCAGATGTGGAGGGTGGGTTGGTCTGGAGCCAAGGGGAGGGGTCACAGCCCGGAACAGCCCTTCAAGGGGCCTGGGACACTTGCCCTGAGTCAGGAAAGATTTGAAGGGCATATCTGTCATGCCAGGTGAGGGCCCCTCTTAGAACTCAGCTTTGAGATCCCCATGGACAGTTTTGTAAGCTGCACTCCTTTGTCCAGAGAGACAGAGGGGATCAGAGCTGGAGATTTTGGGAATGGCCAGCAGAGGGGCTTAGGAAAGAGGGTAGCCAGGGAGAACATTGAAGACCCCTCCCAATCAGCCGCACCTCCCTCTCAAACCTAATACATGTCATACATTTAAGGAGGCTCCCAGGACTTCACCTCCCCCTCCCCCCTCATCTGCTGGATTTCATCATTTCCAGAAACTCCATTCTGCCTGATAAAATTCACGTACCCTCACCAGCCCAAGCCCCGGGAACCCTCTCCCACTCTGGCTGCAGATGGTGGAGGTTGGACAAACTCCTCTCAGTTCCTCCGCCATTTAAGGAGGGCCCCAGGGCATCATCTCTTCATCCCACACCCTGTTCACTTCCTGATCCCCAGAAACTCATAATTTTACCAGATGAACTCAATTCAGCAGCACATGCCTCCTCAGGTCATTTCCCATTCCAGGCCAAGGACCTTTCTATCACTCCCTGAGCTGGGCACCTCCCCGCTCCCCCCGACTCTTTAGCTTCTTTTTAGATGTTGTCTCTCCTATCAGACCATGAGCTTTTTGAGGCCAGCGACTATCATGATTTTTTCTGCACCCCCCACTCCCACCCCTGGCTTAGCTCAGTGCCTGACACATAGCAGGCACTTAACAGATGGTTATTGACTGACTGATACTTCCCTCTTTGCATTTTCCCTGCCCCTCTCTGAGTCCCAATTTTCTCCTCAGTAAAATAAGGAGGGTCTTTGAGGACCTCTGAGGGCCCTCTATGTGCTGTGAGATCCAGTGTTTCCTAACATTAGGCCTCAATCTCCCTTTTTGTCCCCTCCCCTCCCTCACTGCTGCAGCCAGATGCATCCTGTCTAACCTCACCACCTTGGCTGGCCTGGATCAGTTTGTGCCAGAGAAGGCAGAGGAGTGTCCAGGATGTCTAGCCTTTGGTGGTGGAAGGTGAGGGGACTGTTCCCGGGTAAGTGCTCAGTCACCTTCCCTCCTGAAATGACTCATATATGCTTTTTATTGACTGGCTTGGGTCAGCGTTGTATCAGTAGGCGGAGGATGTCAGCTCCTTCCAGACTGTTGGGGGTCACCTCTGTGTCTCCACCATTGAGCACAGTGTCCTGCACACCCTAAGTTGGTGCTCAATGAAAGCTTTTTGGGTTGAATTAAAATCCTCAGGGGAGGACATCTCCTGAAATTTCATCTGTTGGGTATAAATTGGTTATCTCAGGCTATTGTGGAGTGGAGCCAGGCTTCTGGACTGGGCCCAGAAAAAGGGGTTAGTGCTAGAACCTGGCCCTTTTGGACAAGTCAAAGAACAGCAGTTAAGAGTAGATCTGAGACCTGAGAAATGGAAGCCACCCGTGTCTGCCTTGGGGCAGAAGTGGGGAAAGGAGGGGGTGGTGGAGGGAGTGAGGGCATGTGGAGGGTGGGGAGGGGGGGGGGGGAAGGGGGGGGGGGTATGGGTGGATGGGAGTGGATAAAGGGTATTTGCACTCAAGTGGTCCAAGAGGAGAGTCCCTAGACCCTACCTGGTCTGAGAGGGGAGAGGGAAACAGAGAAAGGGACAGAGACAGGGAAATGGGGAGAAACAGAGACAAACAGAGACATTGAGAGACAAAGACACAGAGAAACATAGAGACATAAACTGAAGGACAGAGACAGAGCTGGAGAGAGATAGAGACAGAGAAAAGGGAATTCCCTGGGGAAGGGGGAATGATATGCTTGGATTTGCCTCTTAAGCCCTGAGTTTGAGCTTCTGTCTCTGGACACTGGCCACTGGCTCCTGGCTCCTGGATAAAATAGGGGAGATCTTGGGCAGTGCCAGGATCTTGGAAAGAAGAGACTATATCACCAAGGGACTGAACCGAGATGCTGAGGAGTAAAAGGTTGGGAATTTTGTCCTCCACTGCTACTACCATGAGTTATTCAGCTAATGCTGTTCTGGTTGGAGGAGAGTTCTATCTCTGTTAGAGCATTTTTGTGACACCTACTGTGTGCCAGGCACTGTGTGCTAAGCACTCTTTACAAAAATGCTCTCATTTGATCCTCACAACAACTCTGAGAGGTAGATATTATTATCACCCCCATTTTACAGTTGAGGAAACTGAGGCCAGCTGAGGTTTAGTGACTCACCCAGGGTCACACAACTAGGAGGTGTCTGAGACTAGATTAGAACAGTGGGCTTCCTGGCTCCAGGCTCAGTACCCCAGGCACTGCCTTACCTACCTGCCTCATGAAGTCCCAGAACTTTGGGGTCTAACCATGAGGCTGGAACTCTGAGAACCAAGCGTGACTGACTGGAATGTTGGGGCGTTGCCCCTCTAGCAACTCCAAGTTTTTTTCCCTTCTGGAGGGAATCCAAAGGCCAGAGAAGGACTGTATAAAAGGAAGAGAATTGTATTAATTATTAATGGGCTATTATATATTCTTTATGTGTTTTCTGTATACCATACTCTGTGGGGTAACATGAAGGCTGTCCTATCCCTAAAGACCATTGTTATCATGAGTGCTTATCATGGAGACTCTTTAATGCACACCTCTGTAGACCTAAACACAAGCTGTATTTGAGTTATATTCTGAAGTCTGGGTGGGGGCAAAATAAGCCAAAGAAATATGATGAGGGAGGAGGGGAAGGGGCTAAGATTGAATGTTTCCTATGTGCAGGAGAGGGGTCTTGGGCCACTGGTTACACTTGAGAAAGACTTTCCAGGCTAAATATCCCTCATTTCCTAAAATCAAGTCACATAAAATCAGCAAGCATTTATTAAGCACTTATTATGTGCCCTAAGTGTATGCTGGGAATCAAATACACACAAAAAGAAAGCCAGTCCCTGCCCCTGAGGGACTTGGATTCTAAGTGGGAAAAGACAACACATAAAAAGTTGTGTGTTGGGGGGGAGTCTAGAATGGAGTCTGGAGAGAAATAAAGACATGTCTGGCCTGGGCATTGTGGTCCTTACAGGCTTCATCCAGCATGCTCTTCAGACCCTTCAGGGTGTCGGTCACCTTCCTCTGGACACTGGCGTTTAGCAAGGCTCTTCCTAGAAGCAGTGCTCAAAGTGTGGCCCGACCAAGGCAGAGGGCAGAGGACAATGATTAGCTTCCTGGTCTCTGAGCTCACCCTGCTGGGACTTTTAGCTCTTTTCCAGCTTCTCTCCACTATGTCTCCCTCTCCCAGCTCCCCCAGCTTGGATTGGTGAATCCAAACAAAGGGTTAGACCCTCATTAAATATCCCCTTATTAGCATCAGTCCAGTATTTGACCCTGTAGGCAACTGTCAGCAAGTTTGTCAGCTATTTCAATAGCTTTTATCAAATGAGATATTTGTAACATTGATAGTAGCTATTGAGATAGCTGACAAACTTGCTAGGAGGCCTCTAGGGGGTGCCATACTCATTTATCTATCTATCTATCTATCTATCTATCTATCTATCTATCTATCTATCTATCCATCTATCTAGTGCCATACTCATTCGTTCATTCATTCATTCATTCATTCATTCATTTATTTATTTATTCATTATTTATTTATTCATTATTTATTTATTTATTTAGCTTTTTTGGTGAGGCGATCTGAGTTAAGTGACTTGCCCAGGGTTACACAGTTAGTAAGTATTAAGTGTCTGAGGCTAGATTTGAACTCAGGTGCTCCTGACTCCAAGTCCAGAGCTCTATTCACTGTGCCACCTAGCCTCCCCATGAGGCGCCAAAATTAACAGAGTGCTGGACCTGGAGTCTGGAAGACCACAGTTCAAATCCAGCCTCAGGTACTTCTAGCTGTGTGACCCTGGGCAAGTCACTAAGCCCTGTTTGCCACCATTTCCTTATCTGTCAAATGAGCTGGAGAAGGAAATGGCAAATCACTCCAGTATCTCTGCCAAGAAAACCCCACATGGGGTCACAGAGAGTTGGACACAGCTGAACAACACACTTAGCAATTGTTAAGCTCCGACTAGTGCCTTATTAGATAGGATAAAAAGAAGGTGGTGATTTCCTTGGGCCTCTTCAAAGTCCAGTGAGTTTTCTTTTGTAATGATAAAGCAATTAGGGGGAGGGGCATAATGAGGGAGGCATTTAATACATTCAGTGTCACACAGAAAAAGAAAGAAATAGGGTAATAGCAAATAGAGCACACAATGGAGTCAGTGATATCCCCCCAATCCACTTTTGACAAGTCCAGGATGCTGGGCAGGTCTCTGACTATGTCCTGCCTGCCCCCCCCCCGCAATGGCTCAGCTTTCCTTGGGGAGACTCAGCTGGTCTGGGCACCGACAGCTGGGGTCCCCAAAGGTTTCCTGTAGGAGGCACCCTAGCTCAGTGGAGCCTTCAGGGGTCTGGCCCTGGCTACCCAGCCTCAGGTCCACATTTCTGAGGGCAGAGTCTTTCACTAAGCCCTTTGAGGCTCATGCCAGGCCCCTAGGAGGGGTAGCTTCTACTCCGCCACTGAGATCAATGTCTGAGGGGAGCCTGGGGAAGATCCAGGACCATAAAGTTAACCTTAAAACCCAGCACAGACCATTCTGAATGCCCAGTATCCTCCTGTTTAGCCTGAGAGACTCAGGTGTCTGGCCTGCTCTGGGCTCAGTACGACTGGAGGGATGGGCTCCCTGGACAGTGTGGACTTCATTCCTCTCTCCTGGACCCAGGCCTGGCTCCTTTCTCATGGCCCACCAGCTTTCTCCACTCAAGAAGCAACTGGCATGGGGAAAATCTTCAGAACTGATGCAAATAAGAGGATAGCAATCTCTCTGTGTGCAAGGCAAAAGGAGAAAGAGGAGGAGTGAGGAGGCAAATGAAGAGACAAATAGGAGGGGAGG